GTAAATTAGTCTAGCGTTCACGGCTAGCCAAGGTTTTGGATTTTGTAAGGGAATTATATTTTCAAATGTTTTGGTTTGAAGTTTTATATTTTTTTACGGTCAATAGCAGACATTCTTTGGCAAACCTTAATGACATTATGTGGATGGTGCTTAAACAAAATGTTTAACAATGTTACAAAATGTTTAACAATGTTTCTGATTTCGATGGGCAATAATAACAATGGAAACGTCCAAACATGATTGAAAGCAAACGAACAGATCATCTCAGTATATCCTTTCGTTGAAACAGTGAACTACAATAGAGGAAAAGGGAACGAATCAAAATTCGATACCTGCAACTACCAAGACAGTTTTGTGTTAGAAGAAACCAACAACCCGTACAGTGATGAAGCTACTACCATCGATGCGTACAGTTATTGTTTTTGTTAATATCTCAGTTTGTATGTCTTGACAGAAGCTTAAATCTTGACACAGCGGCTACATAACCTCATTTATCCTAAAAATGCTCAATACGTGAAATGAATTCAATTGATTATGTCGTAAAGACGTCGAAAGTGGTCGATTTCTCGGCTTTTCCGATTCCAGACATACATGTCAAGAAATGCTTTAAATGTAAACAAGATATTATGTGTCATGACCAAATGATATAGGGGTTATAGTCCATGACCATTCAGCTTATTAGACAAGTTGATTTCATAAACATTTACTGTTTGGAAATGTCAAAATCTTACAAAGTTTGGGACTCACTCTCTACCGGGATCGACTGTCTATCGAGGAAATGGTTTGAATACGACCAACTTCCGGTTGAGCATGGACAGGGCTTCCCCACTGTGATATAGTCCATACTGTGGCGAACTCCACCTACATTCCAAGTTAATAATGATAACGTCATTTGGAGAACACATAATGTCCTAATGTCCCTTCTAAACTGGGTGTAACGCAGGACTGTTTTGTTACTTGTGAGCATGAGAGTCGGCCTTATGAGACGTCATGCGATTCTTGGGTACATAGTGTCTCGCTTTAATACCTGGATGCGGCGTCACGGTTAATAGATACGATGTCTGCTGAATGACCAGAGTCACCGTTCACTTGTACAGTGTGGGCGTGTTGGTATTTGTATTGTTGTTTCTTAATCATCAGTCGGAAAAACGTGACACGCACACGCACATCCTGGTAAAATATGTTCATATATCAGACGACCGCCTTCGTGGTGTAGTGGTTAGAGCGTCCGCCCGGAGAGCGGAAGGTCGTGGGTTCGATCCCCGACCGCGTCATACCAAAATACGTTAAATATGTCACTTGTTGGTCCCTGCCTGGCGCTCCGCATTAATAGGTACAACAAGGACTGGTCGGCTCGGAGTCAGTATAATGTGTCTGAGTAGGGTATTCATGCTTCACTGCGGCATGGTATCTCAGTGGAGTAGCACTATAAAACTAGCTTCAGACTGGGCTGGTACAAGCAGCCGCACATATATACACACGCATGCACGTCGTCACATGAGCGAAATATTCTCAAGCACGACGTTAAACCCAATTTCACCTCACCTCATACTAGGAAATGAGACAAATGGTTCATTACCCGTGAATTCGAAGATCCGGGCTAGAATTAGTCTTCAGTAACCCATGCTTGTCGTTTTTACGCCGCTTTCAGCAACATCACCAGAAATGGGCTTCACATATTGTACCCATGTAGGGAATCGAACCCGGGTATTCGGCGTGACGAACGAACGCTTTAAGCACTAGGCTACCTCACCGCCCCTGTTCCTAAGAAGCGCCTCTGTCAAGGATGTTATAACTTAAGGTGCTAGAATAATGGTATATGATGCATATGTTTGTATGTCAGGTTCTGTTAGATATGTCTAACTGTTAAAAATAGAAAACAGACAACATTGGCAATATGATAACCAAGAACTTTAAGTTCTCTTTAACTAACGCTGAGAACTAGACAGCTCCGTTGACCAGTATTCTTTTTGTTGATGACGATATATTCAGATCGATCTGTTTCAAGGAAGAGACTGCAGATGCGGCATGCAATTTGATCACCGAGACGTGCAGCTTGCTATAGCAAGGTAACTGGATTTTTATAATTATTCTGTTGACAATCAAAATGTCAAAACAAATAAGGATTTATCTTCTTTAGGCATACGAGTAAATACAGGCACGGTCAATTTACTTTTTAATACCGTTTGGATTAAAAAAATTTTCACTTGATGTTACCTTTGGCAAGTCTTGAATTTCGACGTTTATATATTTTTTCGCTACTTATCGCTACAATAACGGGAGCAAAAAACGTGTACGTTATGAAAGAGCAACTACACTGAAAACAGTTGCCAAAAAACACTGCAAACTTCAGGCCCAAAACAGAGTTACGATGCCTGCATCAAGTGGGGTGGTGGGGTGGCCTAGTGGTTAAATTGTCCGCTCGTCACGCCGAAGACCCGGGTTCGATTCCCTAAATGGGTACAATGTGAGAAGCCCAATTCTGGTGTCCCCGTCGTCATATTGCTGGAATATTGCTAAAAGCGGCGTAAAACCATACTCACTCACTCATAAAAATAATCATAAAATATAATGAAAAGGAGCCCAGAGACTTTCTTCATTATTAGAAACTGTGGAAATCTAGACTTGCCACATATTCTAGACTTGCATGGGCTTTCTTGGATATGCTTGTTTCAGGATTTGTATGACAGACTAGGGTGTAAAGATGTGCTGATATACAAGAGTATGTCTGTGTTGGGGGCTGTGGTTGCGTTGTGTGGGGTGGTGGGGGTGGGTGGGGGTGTCTTTTGTCTGCGTGCGGTAGGATGGGTGTATGATTGAGTGTATTCATGTTTCATGTGCGTTGTTATAGAAAGGAAGGGGGATCTGTGGGTGTGCTGGTGAGTGGGTGGGCCAGTGCGTTTGGGTGTGTGCGTGTAGATTGCTGTGTGTGTGTCTTGGTGCATGTTCCCTCGGTTGTGGTTTGATGTTTGTACGAACACATCTGTCGGTGGGTTTCGGTTCAGGTGTGCACCCATGTGGAAGCTGCAAACATGTGATATTGTACGTTACTGGCTTGATATTGATGTGTGTGACAGAAGGTTCGATAGTCCCTGTATGTATCTGCACGTGTGTGTGATTGGGGGGGGTTGGCGGGAGGGTGACAGATGCTTCGGTGTGAATGGGTTTTCACGTACACGTGTAAAAGCGCTTGGTGTATACGTTTTGACAACTGTATCTGAATATTGTTTATCATTACGTTATTTTAACTTAACAACAGTTGTAAAGAAATCTAGTGTCTCATTGCCATATGCGTTTTGCATATCAGTGTGTTATGTGTAGATATATGAAATTGATACATGACGAAATATATTTCTTCTTCTACTTCAACGTCTACATATACGCAAGCGAAGAGTACGCAATTTTTCGTTGTATGTTCACTCTATATCTACACGTAATTAAAAATATAAATATAATTAAACAACTATGTTTGCATATGAGTGAGTTGGATTTAACGCTGCTTTCCACAGTATTCCTGTTATATCAAGCATGATATGGAGTGAGTGAATGAGTATGGTTTTACGCCGCTTTTAGCAATATTCAAGCAATATCACGTTGGGGGGACACCAGAATGGGCTTCACACATTGTACCGGGGGTTCCGGCCCGGGTCTTCTTCGTGATTAGCGAACAGTTTAACCTCGTGGCTACCCATCGTCCTCATCACGTGGGATTGGTTGGTTATTTTTTAACCGACGGACTCGGCAATATTCCAGTTATTTGATAATAATGGCTAGTATTACGAGTATAATGTCTGAAGCCCATTTCTGGTGTCCCCCGCCCTGATATTGCTGGAATAATGCTTAAAGCGGCGTAAAACCATACTCACTCACTCCTACGAGACGCTGAAAACCAATTCTAACCCGACTCTTCACGGGTTTACCCCTTTGGAGAAAGCCAGCAGCCCGGGCATGGTGTTGAGAAACTTAGAAACATACACGGGGTGAACCGGTTGTATATTCTGATAAACTCAAAATAGTTATCTGGAAATAACCACAAAAACTCTATTATTCTGAATATGTTTTATTCAACTCTGTTTAAGTCGTGGCAAAGAAAATAAGTCCAATATAAACATACACGTGTTTTTTTTATGTACACAATCAATAAATAAGCAAAACTTCAATACCCCTCGCACATCCTTTAATCTGCCCGACGCACATACCAACGACCTCACAATCAATATGCAAATCGTAAAAAACAGAACTCACCAAGCACTTCGTAAGTTAAAATCCAATAACGTACATACCATAAACACACGCACGCTGCATTCTCTGCATCAAATAGGCCATTCAGCACGAATAAAACAAGTTTTAATAACATAAGCATCTATAACACGTAACAGAGTAACACAATTTGTGGAGAAATTATCTTAGATACACAACACAAAAATGTCGAAGACGAACAGAGTTTTTCTCTATGAATCAGTTCAGAATGCACCGGTTTGTTTTAACACTGGAAACAGTCGCAACCGGAATGCGTTTTAACCGGAATGAGTTGCAACGGTAGATTACTGACATCTCGACTGTCAAGTCCTATTCCTCATAGATGAGTGAGTGAGTGAGTTTAGGTTTACGCCGCACTCAGCAATATTCCAGCTATATGGCGGCGGTCTGTAAATAATTGAGTCTGGACCAGACAACATAGATGAGTGAGTGAATTTGATGATGATTCATCATGATTGATTCATTACCAAGGTTGTAATAATGGTTGAGAGAGAGAGAGAGAGAGAGAGAGAGAGAGAGAGAGAGAGAGAGAGAGAGAGAGAGAGAGAGAGAGAGAGAGAGAGAGAGAGAGAGAGAGAGAGAGAGAGAGAGAGAGAGCACAGCCACTTGTCCGTATACTACAGAACTTCTTGTAGAGCCTTCAACGATTGGGCAGCACGTACACAACTACATATATATATATATATATATACATGTACATGTACATGTACATGTGTGTGTGTGTGTGTGTGTGTGTGTGTGTGTGTGTGTGTACTACGAAATTAATTGTGGCTGGTCAATAGACGGGCGTGTGATGATCTATTAAGTGTCTGCCTGACACGATCACAATATTATCACGATGCAAATCATTTGAAATGATATTTTCCAAATACAAAGAATTTGACAGAGCATTTTAGACAGGTCCACGTCTACTACCTTACCTTCTTCATCGGACCACGTGGAAGTTCAAACAGATATGATGTGATAGTGAGTGAGTGAGTGAGTTGGGTTTTACAACGCTTTTAGCCATATCCCAGCAATATCACGACGGGGGACACCAGAAATGGGCTTCACACATTGTGCCCATGTGGGGAATCGAACCCGGGTCTTCGGCGTAACGAGCCAACGCTTTAACCACTAGGCTCCCCCACCGCCCCTCTTATAGCCATGGACCAAACCACAACGCGAAACAATCCATACACGGAAAACCAGGCGTTCTCTCCAGCATACATTAATGAGAATCAAGTACATTTGAATGCAGTGATTGTTTTTGACCCCAATGCATCACTAATAACATCATGAACCTAGATATATTTCTAACGCACTGGTGAGTGGTATATCATGAGTGAGTGGTTAACGCTTTACGCTGCTTGAAGCACACTATACAGGAATACTACAAGATAGCTACTTACAACTGTAGGTCAATACAGTCTTGTAGACGACACAACCCACATACATAGCCCATCACATTAAAAGCACGGGTTTGCGTACACCTCACTTGAGTCCAAAGCACCACGATAGCACATAACCAGACAGCCTGACCCGCCAAAATAATTAGCTCCCTTTACGACCAACATGGGAAAACAGGGATCTATTCTAACACCAGTCACCATAACGGACGGACTTGCTCAGTTGTTTACGATCAACTTTAATGGGTACCGATAAGGCTTTAATGTCCCGTTAGCAGACTTTCTATAGACTATATACTCTATATCATCTTTTTTACACGATGTATAGCCTCTCTCTAAAATATTCCAGCCTTATGGTGAGGGCTGTGTTTTCTTGCTTTTTGATGTTTGCGTTTGTATAACCTATACGGGATTTGGCTCCATAATATATATGTATATATGGTGCATCATGACTAAGCCTTGTGCTCGACTTTCATATTTTGAGCAACTTCACACCAGCTTACGGGATCAGGTGACTTGGTAACCCAATTGTTTGGTGCAGGATCAGTAGCCGATACCTTCAGCCTTCCTAGTCTCGTTGGAAAATCAAACCTTGATACCCTCTCCACAAGAGCTTAAATGTATTAACTGAAGCAAACCCTCAAACCGCTAATATCACTACTTCCCTTGCATACCATTAGACAACAAAAATATACACCTTTATACATATTAAATAGCATTCCCAACGGTACCCAAATAAGGTTAATATTTTGAGTGTCACGTGTTGGATTTCTTTATCTAAAATATGACCACAGGCTTGCAATTTTCATCGCACCCTAAAACATATTTAGTGCTGGTATGTACAGAACCAACAGTTTGGTTTTTCAAAAATATAAAAATACATGCATACGTATTACCATAACAGCGCGTACGACACAATTATTTAGTTTCACTGGTTTATGTTTGACTGTATTAATCAACAAAGACAGTCAGAACACATGAATGACACAAGGATACTACTGTGAAAGACAAAACTCTGGAATGTACGACAACGCTCGTTGCCACAGTAACATCGACGCACATCATCGAGTTATCTCCCTTCGACAAAAGCTGCAGTTTGCATGGCAAGAGGTCACATGATCACCGAGCTGCCATTTGTCGGTGGAAAGTGTCTTCACATTTATCACAGATCGTGAATGCACTTGGCGGTGCTTCCAGTATCGTCATGATACAACTTCTACTCCCTGGGATCGGATCAACCTTTGGTCGAACTCATGTCCACTTGAGCATTGAGAATTTCTTCCAGGTACTTTGTAGAGATTGTCCGTAGATCGACCAGCATGTTTATTATGCGGGCGAGGAGAAGGACGCCTTCCCCGTGGTTAAGAAGCAGTTGACACTTGAGGGCCATGCACAGGTCCGTTTCCAGGTTCTCTAACATCTTCGTCGTCTTTAGCCCTTGGCGATCTGAAAGACGCAAATTGGATTAAAACATATTAAAAGGTTTTACTCTTTAACCTCAAAATCAAATTCCCATAATCTTATTCCTTGTAGTGTGAGTGAATGAGTTTAGTTTTACGCCGCTTTCAGCAATATTCCAGCAATATCACGGCGGGGGATATCAGAAATGGGCTTTACACATTGTGCACATGTGGGGAATCGAACCTGCGTCTTCAGCGTGACGAGCGATCGCCTTTACCACTTAGCTACACCACAGCCTGGTTCCCTGGGTCTGTTGCGCCTGCGCTAACGCTTCTACACTGAAGTGTCAGCGCAGGCGCAATAGACCCAGGGAACCAGGCTGAGCTACCCCTCCGCCCCCTATTCCTTGTAAAATGCCTCAGGCTTCAAGGTTAAAACACGTCAAAACCATCACTGAACAATGCACATACGTCCACACAACTAACTATTTGTTGTGGCAGATGTTTTAGGGGTAATTATGCGGATTTTAAAAGTATTTTACGTTTTTACAATTCACGACTTTACGAATGATAAAAGTTAATCCTCAAATACATTTCCGTGGATATTCCAATTATATGTTGCTCACCTGGACACAGAAGGACAATTGCACAGATAAGGGACAGCTCCACGTCCGTCAATTCAAACTTTCTGATTTTAAGGACAACATGGTGGAAATTCGTGAAAACTGTTCCCATGAGTCCAAGCTTGGGGAAAGCCTCCACGTCCATGTGGAATTTGAGCTTTTCATCCACCCAAACCCCATCTGTCAGATGGACGTGGGTGGAATCGTAAAGGACCGCCATCTCCAGCAAGCAGGACTTGATGAGGACACGTTGGTCCTCTAGGGAGATGTCTAGGAACTGTGGAATCTCCTTGGCGAATGTGGAGATACATCTCACCATGGTTGGGAGATACCGGAGGTAGATTTTCTTTGACTCTTCCTGAGTGGATATCACTTCCATCTGGAACATAAACAGTTGAGTTTGTAGTTAGGGCTTAAGTGTAAACCAGAAACCTCCCTTCAAACAAATCAGTTGGTTTCTACGTAATGCCTTAAGCGTGACGACCAGACTCTTTAAATCAGAAACTTTCAGTAACCCATGCTTGTCGTAAGAGGCGACTAACGGGATCGGGTGGTCAGCATGCTGACTTGGTTGATACACGTCATCGTATCCCAATTGCTTAGATCTATGCTCATGCTGTTGATCACTGGATTGTCTGGTCCAGATTCGATTATGTACAGATCGCCGGAATATTGTTGAGTGCGGCGTAAAACTAAACTCACTCCGTCACTCAATTGTCACTTCTATTTATCTATTGTTTACTACCTACAAATAGTCCTTTGAAAATCGAGCGAAATAATTGCATTTTTTCAAAAAATAAAGTGATGAAGCAACTATTAGCTGTGATTTAGTTTTTCTGAGCGTTACAGAAATATTGAAAATCAGACAGATCGATGTCTATGATCATGATTATCCAGTCATCGATTAAAATTGTACAACTTAAAAAAAACTAATTTAAATAAAAAGAATTATTCCAACACCAGTTTATCATGCACGTGGTTGATAAAACACAGCTGGTTAAGTCAACATGTAGTTCTATACCCCGTAAATGTACTTATTTCCCCGAAGAATGTCACGATGATTAATGTAGACTTACGAAACCCAACAAATAGAACAATAAACACATGATCAATACACGCCTACAACAGTGTACTCGACATTCAAAGCTGACAGACATACTCCTGTAATACAAAAGACCTTTTTACAACATTATTCAACCTTAATGTCATGTGTAGTTCTTATGAAGACTTCCCACAGAAAACCGACCCTTCTCAAGGGATATGTTACCACCTACATCGTATTACAAATATAGCTTGACATATCGCCGCTCAGTGACAAAGTCGTACGGCTGGCGATTAGTGCAGAAGGTTCAATACGCGCTCGTAACACTTTAAGGAAACCTGTAGGTTTGAACAAATAGCTTGCTTTTTCACACAACGGTTACAAATACCGTTTATACAACAGTACATCATGGCAAAATAACAAAACATTTCCGCAACAATAAAGGGTAAACATCGGTTTAAGGCTGAAGAAAAGGAAACTATCATTTTATCAGTTTACTTATTTCCAAATCCTTGCCTCGAGAGCTGATTATTTCTTCTTCATAACTTTGCCCCCTTATATTACTGAACAGTTCTCATATCTCACTGTGTATCTTCAGTGAGTAAATTCATTTTTTAGAAATGAACATAACTGTGCCCCCCTTATGTCTTGAGTAGACATGCTTCGTATATTACTGAACAGTTCTCATATCTAGCGCTGTGTGTATCTTCAGTGAGTAAATTCATTTTTTAGAAATGAACATAACTGTGGCCCCTTATGTCTTGAGTAGACATGCTTCGTATATTACTGAATAGTTTACATATCTAGCGCTGTGTGTATCTTCAGTGAGTAAATTCATTTTTTAGAAATGAACATAACTGTGGCCCCTTATGTCTTGAGTAGACATGCTTCGTATATTACTGAATAGTTTACATATCTAGCGTTGTGTGTATCTTCAATGATTAAATTTATGTTTTTAGATTTTCCTTCATCTTGTTTCTTCTTCTAACGATCGTGTCCGTGTCGACCTGCGCCAATTAAAGCATCCCTCCCACATCAAACTCAAAAGTGATACATTTCAAAATGAAGCTTAACCCAGCCCACGTTTCCACACTTACGTCCACCCCAGCTATATATCAAACTGACACAATATTCTGCGACCAAGTACACTAAGTTCATACTTATACAAATGTCATTTTGTATAAATACATCCACGTAAACATGTGCCCACTAAGACACACTCGTGTTCGTGAATGTCGTAATACAATGATGAATTGATACCTCCTCGAATATGAAGATGGAAGAGTACTAAACTGATTGCTTCTGGATGTAACACATGACAATATTATCAAAAATGAGTCAAACCGGCTTCTACATGGATTTCAATGTTGCAGTGATTTCAATCATCTACAGGTATCTCTCCACCCTTAAAGTGCGTTATATTAAGTTCCTTGTGTTATGGCTGATGTGCATAGCCTTTTTACACGACACCCCCTGTATACTGACAAGGACATTTACATCTTCATGTTGACAAAGCTGACAATAAAACAAAGCATAACCTGGACATGCTGCCGGATTCCATTAAACTACGAGAAGCGACTACAGCACAGCAGAGATACTGCTGATTTCATACACACGTCAAGTATATCCATAGCTGACAATTCATCTGTCATCTACATCGAAGACAGTGTAACAAAGATGGCTGTTCAACCTCGTCTCATAGAGCAATTATATACGTATACACGCCATTCTACAATGACTTGAGCAAACACTTAATTGTGATTGGTTAATTAAGTCCAATAAGCGGTATATAATCACGTTATTTAGGTCCCATTTCCCTCTGCGCAATGGTACATATTTTACGGTGATGCACTATTTTCGTTTGCCCACAAACATGGCGGATACCAAACAATCGATACGACGATGGATTACGGATTTGCGAAGGAGTCAGTGAGATAAACACATTACTTGCGAAATCACAGAAACAGGTGATAATATATACAAAATACTTCATAAACATAGAAAAACATATTCAGTCGAACGAGGATGGATACAAAAATCAACAGTCCCAAAATTCGTACACCATGGACTCCTCGTCAGATCTCCAAATAACCCTTGACCTTTATCTCCAGAAATTTATCACGCATTGATTTCACAATACGCGCTGGGAGTTTCGATCTCGCATACACACAGCTGTCGAATAAGGCTTAAACTGAGCAAAATAATTTCCGTAATCACGAGAAATAATACGAGTTCATTGTACGATTCCTACCATGTAGTAAGAATGTCTTGATAATTCACTATATAACAGCGGTGACGGGTGTAAACGAGACGATACCCACCGTAAACAACTAGCAAGTGAGTGAACGTTGTTTAACGACATATTCAGCAAAATCCCAAATGGTGCACGGCGTGGAATCAAGCCATATTTGTGGTTGATATTAAGAGCACCGCCCCGCACTGTCTGGGCTCGATGACAAGATATCAAACCAGTCACCAAGTCCGACAAGCTGGGTATCACCGAAACCACTAAGAATGCATGCCAATTTAAACACAGGACAAACGTAACGCTCAGAAACATCTCACATATGACTCGGCCAAAGTTCATAAACAACCCAGTATCTGACTGGGTCAAAGTTCAGAAACAAGCCAGTATCTGACCTATGACTGGACAAAAGTTCAGAAACGAGGCCGGTATCTGACATATGACTTGACCAAAGTTCAGAAACAAGCCAGTATCTGACATATGACTGGACCAAAGTTCAGAAACAAGCCAGTATCTGACATATGACTGGACCAAAGTTCAGAAACAAGCCAGTATCTGACATATGACTCGGCCTACGTTCAGACACAACCCATCATCTGACATATGACTTGATCAAAGTTCAGAAACAAGCCAGTATCTGACATATGACTTGACCAAAGTTCAGAAACAAGCCAGTATCTGACATATGACTTGACCAAAGTTCAGAAACAAGCCAGTATCTGACATATGACTTGACCAAAGTTCAGACACAACCCAGCATCTGACATATGACTTGACAAAAGTTCAGAAACAAGCCAGTATCTGACATATGACTGGACCAAAGTTCAGAAACAAGCCAGTATCTGACATATGACTCGGCCTACGTTCAGACACAACCCAGTATCTGACATATGACTGGACATAAGTTCAGACACAAGCCAGTGTCTGACATATGACTCGGCCTACGTTCAGACACAACCTAGTATCTGACATATGACTAGGCCAAAGTTCAGACACAACCTAGTATCTGACATATGACTGGACATAAGTTCAGACACAAGCCAGTGTCTGACATATGACTAGGCCAAAGTTCAGACACAACCTAGCATCTGACATATGACCTAAACAAAGTTCAGACACAATCTAGTATCTGACTTTGCCAAAGTTCAGACACATCCCAGTATCTGACATATGACTTGACCAAAGTTCAGACACAACCCAGTATCTGACATATGACTCGGTCGAGAATTTCCATCAACTGGATAAATAACCTGTGGTAAATCTAGTCTTGCTTCTTTAGGGCTATAGCATGACTGGGTAGAAGGGAAAATAATATGGTTCAAGGACTGTGATAGAAAATCTGTTTGATTGGCATTTAGAAGTTGGTGACTAATAAGAAAGTAAGAATATTTATGGATAACAACTTTTATATTATATACTCTTGCTTGACAACGGTATAAGAATCCATACCGAAACGTCGCATCATATATAATAAAGAAGTTGTTATCCATAAATATTCTTACTTTCTTATGTGATAGAAAAGTCTCTGACATAAACATATTTTACGAAAAGAGTACTGAAAGTATTTTCACAAAATATAATAGATACGTACGCGGATATTTCCAACTTTTTAGTAGAAATCTAGATTGCTGCATATCATGACGGTACAAGGTCTGTTGTGTATGTATTTGTTTCAGACAGACAATATATTCAGGCTGTACTGACCTCAGCAGGGGCGGCTTCGCTAGAGACTCTGCTGAACTCCTTGGAGGCGGATTTGAAGGCGTCGTGTATACACAGAACCATCTGTTCGTTCTTCACCTGCTTGTCCACATCAACAGCGCCGCTCTGGTTTTGTGGAAGGACAAAGAAATTGGCGCTAGATGGTCGGTCCTTTTTCGGGCAGCGTCCTAACCGTACAGCTGAAAGGGGAGACAAACATAAAAACGTCATGCACGACCCACGTCACGGCAACGTCCTCCCTTTCATAAGTGTGTTAATACTACAACTACTGAAAGGCACGAGTCACATCTCGACACAACGGATAACTATGACTATGGAGATACCAAGTCTAGTCTACCAAGACCGGGGTTCGATTGCCAACATGGGTACAGTATGAGAAATCGATTTCTGGTGTCCCCCGCCGTGATATTGCTGGAATATTGCTAAAAGCGGCGTAAAACAATACTCACTCACTTATCTCTGACTATTGTGTTACGTATGCCAATGTGCCACAAGCTGCAACTCTAAATTACCTGCCGTATAAAATAACCCTTTAAGGTGAACAGATTTTATCCGGTAATCTTGATAGTTACTGTTGGCCGTAAGTAGAGGGAGAAATTGGAAATCCCGGATTAACGAGTATATGACATATATGGCATATTTTATATGGTTTACAATTAGTCAGTGAAAAATTATTGCTTAATCCTGTATAAAAATTCTTGCATCTATTCGCGATGAGGAATTAGAAAGAAAGTTGGAGGCTTTTAGAAGCCGAAGAAGAAAACACTTCGGGTAAAAAATCGATTTGCTATTCCGCAAAACTAAGCCTAATTACTCATTAATCATCCTCTTTCATTAAGTCCTAGTCTGAATCGAGAAACAGAATAAGTACTAAAAGAGTCCACGAAGACTGGGCAAGTCTAGACTGCCTCTGCTCCAGGAGTTTCAGAATTATACTGGACTCCTCTCGACCTTGTATTTTCTTCGATATAAATAGTCAGTAGTCATAAATAGGAGTGAACTATTTCTAGGACAAAATGCAATGTAGTTGATCCCTCCGAGACACAAGAGTTGCTATGGCTCAGTACCCCACAGACATAATCTGACAGCAACACATCAGTTAGGCAATACTCACACTCATGTGACATGCCCACAGTTAGGCATTTCTGTAAACGACAGAACTGACACCTGTTCCTGCTGATTCTCATGATGAGGCACCCCTTGGGATTATCACACGGTTTGTAGGTGATGTTCTGTCGGATTGTCCGTCGGAAAAAACCCTGGAAATTGAAATGTGAAGATATTGATGTTTGCAATATATTCAGTGGGATTTGGACCCGAGCAGGTGATAATGTCCTGCCCAGTATCTTGTTATCTGTCGTCTTACGGCTCTAACATAGACATCGATAGATACATAAATATCATATAAATACAATATACATTAATCATTGTAATCGTCAAGATAAAGAACAAATGAACTTTTTGAACTGAATCATAGATGTTGAGGGGAAGGTTCCTTGAATCGCATTATTTCAAAACAAATACAAAAACAAATCACATGTTTTGTAAATCATTTTTGAATAATGCATTTTTTATGATGGATTCGGTATTTTAAAAGGAAAATTAGGAAAAATGTTTATTCATTCTTCGTGTCTTTTAATTGCGATTTGCTTGCAATTCTTGTACCCAAAATGTAAGAACCAGAATTAGTACATTTTCATTCCTCATATCCAACCCTAACTTCCTCTTCCTCTGCTGATTTCAGACCGCCTCCGTGGTGTAGTGGTTAGAGCGTCCGCCCGAGAGCGGAAGGTCGCGGGTTCGATCCCCGACCACGTCATACCAAAAGACGTTAAAATATGGTACTTGTTGGTCCCTGCCTGGCGCTCGGCATTAATGGGTACAACAAGGACCGGTCGGTTTGGAGTCAGTATAATGTGTCTGAGTGGGGTATTCATGCTTCACTGCGGTATGGTCTCTCAGTGGGCTAGCACTATAAAACCAGTTTACGTCTGGGCAATTACAAGCAGCCGCACATACACATACACACGCATGCACGTGTGCATAGGAGCGAAATATTCTCAAGCACGACGTTAAACCCAATTTCACCTCATCTCACCTCACCTCATTTGCACCCGTCATATTAATATGATTAAATAACTTCCTCTCCCGGATTTATTTTGATTCCCATACATCGACACTCGGCGTATTACTCTGCCTCTGCATTACTCTGCCTTTCCACATCTGCTGATTTCAAAAATATTTTAAAATACTTTACATTGCACTTTCATATAAATTTACTTCAATAGCATATCCTTCAGAATGAATGTACTGTAATGTACCCCTACCTTGCATCCCTCGCACGAGAAGACCCCATAGTGGAAGCCAGATGCCTTATCCCCACACACTTTACACAGAATGTGTCCACCGGGGGGTGCGCCTGCAATAGAGGAGGAAGACATTGGAAAATTGTTACGTAAACACAAACGGACAAAAATAAACAAGAACAAATTATGGGTCGAATATACCCCGCGTCATTATTGAAGGGTCCTGCGTATGTGTGGTGGAGTGGTAGCCATGTGGATAAAGCATTAGCTCGTCACGCCGAAGACCCGGGTTCGATTCCCCACATGGGTACAATGTGTGAGGCGGCGTAAAACTAAACTCACTTACACATGAACATATGTCAACAAGCGTCAGTTGGTCCGAGTATGATGACAATGTGATTAAAACTCGAAGTAGATGTTATTGTTGCCCATGTCACACTGACTGGGTGCGTTTATGAAACTGAAAAGTTAACGACTAAAGCAATGACAAGATTGAAAGTAATGAAAAACACCGGAAGTTAACCCATGGTTTCGCGCATGCACGTGCAGTACATGGCAAGTAATAGTTGATGTGGGTATACATTTTTTCATTCCTGGAGGAACTAAACTGCATTCTTGGAGAATAAAAATATGATGAGCCTTCAATACTGTTATCTCTTTTTATCTCTATGACTCAAGAAGAATGTTTTATCTATGTGAACCTTCAAGAATGCCGTTAGTAGGTCCCCAGTGCACAGATTTAACCTTGAAACTGAAGCAGCTTTCAGATCAGCCATTTTCACAAGTCAAGGCAAGCCAGCTGTAGCAACGTTCAATCTGATGAGTACCATGTATAACATCGGTTCAGACGGACCTTCAGTGGCAACTGTCAAGTTATTGCCTTTATCTGAGGAACTCGCACTCGCTTGAGACCATCAGTAAGGTTTAGTTTGATGGATGTCACGTATTGTGTGTGTGTTCATGGACAAAGTGGTACATTGAACCAGGGAAGAAGATTCTATAACACACTGCCTGTTCAACTTCTTCAGACGTGTGTAAATATCCATTATAAGCCATAAACAGCAGTCTCGTAATTTGTTTTTACTTACAACATGTCACGTACTCTAAGACTATTTGAAATTTTCCAATCATTAGTATTACACGTTGACCATAGGTCTTAATTTACAGTAATAAGATAGATATTCCAGGATATTCATGATGCCGAGGTATCCAAGGTATCAGTTTCTATTGGTTCCATCAACCATTTTAACCCGCCCAGATTGCTAAAAGCAGCATGATACCATACTCACTCACTAGCAATAAGCAACATTCACACTCTTTTAGAAACTGTAATCATTGTAGTAAGCGGCGTTATCTAATGACCTTGACCTTTCACCTATGACATAAAACTACTGACTTCCTTATCATTCTTCAACACTGACAACTATCTTGGTTATAAGATTCTCAGCAGTACCTTTTCAATTAAGCACATGTGCTTTGTTTTGTTTGTTTGTGTTTTATGCCGCACTCAGCATTATTCCAGCTATATGGCGGCGGTCCGTAAACAATCATGTCTGGACCAGACAATCCAGTGATCAACACCATGTATATCGATCTAAGCAAATTGGGATACGATGACATGTATCAACCATGTGATCAGCGAGCCTGACCATCCGATCCCGTTAGTCTCCTCTTACGACAAGCATGTGCTGCTGAATACCAATTCTATCACGTATCTTCGCGGGTATAACGAAAGTGTAGTTTTCTTTGACAACTTATAGGGATTAAAGAACGCCTACATCTTATTAGAGTCAGAGTTTTAGAACATCTGATTCAATAGATTCTGAGAATAAGTATTTTTTGCAACATTGTTACTAAACTGAATGTTGGAAATGGTACCTCATATGCAAACTTGAATATATTGATGCCTGTCTGTCTCAGATGATCCAGCTATGGCTTATGAGACTAAACTGTTTCAACTTTTAAAAAAAATGATTCTAGGTTGTTTTACATCTCAGTCAGATAGAGTGGTAGTTCCAGTGCAGACTGAATGCATGGTAATAGTGCAAAGGTTGCACCATGGTCACCAAACAATTAAACTACTAATAGTGCACCAGCGCTGTAGTTCACCTGGTTGTGCAACCACACAGCCATTGAATATATGTTGCTGATAGCATTGATATCTAATAATTATCTGAAACATTAATGCGAACTCATAAATAAATATGAAGTATTTCCCTCGATCAAACAATACTTACATTAACCATTTATATCAGGTTTCATTTTCCTAAGGTAACATATGTTTTGTGGACTGTAGGACACTTAAACCATGCAACAGAGACAAACATTATGGAGAGTTTGGCCAACAAACACAGGTAACTCAACCCCGTGGCTAGAGTTACTTTGTTATCTTGATACATGGTTAACAAATAACAAGAAACGCAACTGGAATATAGAAACATTTAGTAAAACGTCTATCACTTCACCATGGCTGGACGTTGGTCTGACACCGTACCGCATTGGTACTTTACCACTATCACCTTCGAATAGACTGACTGACTGACTGAGTTTTGGTTTTACGCCGCTTTTAGCAATATTCCAGCAATATCAAGGCGGGGGACACCACAAATGGGCTTCACTCATTGTACCCATGTTGGGATTCGAACCCGGGTCTTCGGTGTGACGAGCCAACGCTTTAACCACTAGACTACCCCACCGCCCCCCTTCGAATAGAACCGACAAAACCCTTTCCACGGCCATAAGAAATCTATGCTAAAAGCAGAATCTACTGTACAATTCTGATGATTTCATGAATATATATGTGTTTGTTTGATGCCTCATTCAGTAGTATTACAACTGTTTGACGCAGTCTGTAAACAATCGAGTCTGGACCAGACAATCCAGTGATTGACACAGACATACGATGACCTAGCATGTGTTTCTGAACCACTATCATATAGTGATGATACCAAAAATATTTTATTCAGATTTGGATTTGGATATGCATGGATTTCCCAAGATGTTGGAGACAAAAATATCTTCTTATCAATGTTCAAGCGGAGACTATTTGACAATCTACAACAAACCTGGAGTATATATGTGAATAAACCTATCTGACTCTTATTCATATAAACAATATAAATCCCTACTGACTGTTGAATACTATCTGAACTCATCACTTCCATCTCGCTTAAAAAGGATCTTATCACGCTTCAGATGCAGTAACTTTAGACTAGCTGTCAACACTGGAAGACATCAAGCTACACCATATGAAGAAAGACTCTGTCCTCTCTGTTTATCCCAAAAACCAAAAAAGTATTTTATTGAAAATGAATATCATGTACTTCTAATCTGTGAAGCTTATAGTTTTTTCCGTAATACACTTATTGGTAAATACATCAATACTACCTCTCAACATAACTTTATTTCTATAATCGCTTCTCATAATTATGATATTTTGCATAACACTTCAATCTTTTTATTTAAAGCACAACAAATAAGGCAAAGTAATATATAATATATTCATATCATGCATTTGTACTATTTTATGCTATGGAATGTATGTAAATATGTATTATGCGCAGGGATATTTTGTAACCCTATATTGTCTGTATTTTGGGCCAAAGGCCGTATGCTGAATAAATCTGTCTGTCTGTCTGATACCACGGTGAGCGTGAGCCTATCCTGCAACACCGGGGGCACCAGGCATGACCATATGGAAAGACAAGTCAACTGATCACCTTAACAAATTCGAGAACGTATGGTACATGTCAAATTATGGAACTGTATCGGACGTCATTTTTATCTCTGACGAACATATATAACCGACATTGTGGAATGGCATATGTGTGTCGTGTTTGCCACAGAGTGTAGATCACATTTAATCTGGCATCGACAAAGTTTCCGTCATTTGATGTCTTGGACGAAAGGACGATGACAAGTACCTTTCTCTGTCTCTAACAAAGTTCTTTTTATTGTTGCAGTTATGGGACATGTTCATTCGACTAAAACTAAACTATTCGTCCTATGTGTTACAAGTTTGGACTTCATGATGATGGAGTAGAGAACTAAAATTTCACAAACGCTAAACTATTTGTCTTTGGAGGTCTTGTGAAAACCTGTGACCCCAAATGAATGCTTCTAGGACATGTCCCTAATTACCTACGCCAGTCTAGACTAATGCTCAGTCTCTGAATATATATAATTTCAATTGTAACAAGTAAACCCATATAAATTGAAAAGGAGCCCCAGGGAGACCAGAGATCCTTGAACCTGGAGGAAATCTATCTTTGCTTCATTTAGGGCTTTAGCATTGAAGGTAGGGTTAGGCTGTAGGGAAAATGATATGATTCAGGGACTGTGAGACAGACTATTGCCAGTGATAATGGGTGACTTAATGGATCGGATGGTCAGTTTAGGAGATATTGTTGATTGTATGTCATCAGTCCTGCTGACACCCAGACACGTGATCACGATGAATCTGGGATTCTAGCCAGCTAGTTTCCTGACAGGTCACACGCCTGACGATACATGAGGGACGCACTCGTGACATACCTCAACGTTGTGCAACACCCAAGACGACTGGACGATCCGCGCCCCATCGCTATACGGAATTAACTGAACATACAAAATCAATAATAACGCACTTTCTTTGAACAATAACTCACCATGCTTTGTTGAACTGCGTTTTGCAACCATCTGTCGTGAAATACTGATGACCATTTTGTTTGAGTTATCTGAAATAAATGAAGAGACAATATCCATTATTTACATAATTAAAATCATTCCAAATAACAAGATATAATTGAACAAAATTAGTCACATTTAAAAAGAAATTGAAAATATAATTAAAATGGAAAAAATTCAAATTACCCTTTTCAATTTCAACATATACATTTAACAAAGAACGGGCAAAATTAAATGGGAAAATTGAAATCGAATCCTATCAACAATTTTGATCAACCAAGCAGAACTTTGTTCTATTGGTTGTACAAACAGAAAGTATGAATATTATATAGATATTTGTGATAATACCACAAAGCGGGTATAGAGCCACCATTAGCTATTCGTCTACCGTAATTCTCAACACAGCGTATATATTTTGTTTTTGGAGGGGTTTTTTCAAACTTGTTCATTTAATACAAGAAATTCTGCACAGAAGGTAACAACGACAATTAGCATATGTCACTTAACTGCTGCTATTCACATAAAAGGCTTGGTACTATTGAAGAGATATTTTATGGTTTTTTTAATTATGTTCGTCCTTCGAAACTGTTCTTCTTGGGTACATACGGCAACGTGAAGCATTGGATTACATGTGATAATAATAACACGTATGACCTTTGGTACTGGCAGCCAATCATATGTCAATTTGTTACATATAAACCACAAAACATTTTCCACATCAATAAGAAGCTTTTAGCAGAGTCTATTGCACAATTCAGACTATATCATAAGCATGTGTCTGTTTAACGTCTAACTCAGCAATATAATAACTTAACTGTGTGACACCAGTCTGTACGGGTAAATAATCGAGTATGGACCATACAATCCAGTGATCATGTGATACGATGAGTCTTGTTTATTAATCACTATATAAAACAACTTAAACTCCCAAGTTTAACAATCCATTATGGAGTGAGGTTTTAGCTATATGGAGTAACTATTACAACATATAGTTAATATTAATCAAGTAGAAGATATACTGACTGAACCTTTGCAGATGAATCACCAGTGTAGAAATAATTTAGTAATCTTTATATTGAATATTGGTTCAATGGAGGTATTCACTCAGTAGGAGACAAAGTGGAAATATTTGATCACTGTATTGCAGTCTTAATGTAGTTGCCTCGTCTTTTATCAGTACGCATAGTACACAACTTCTATCAGTTTTGATGTTCATACATGCTTATTTCACGCTTCAGTACAGTATCCAACGAACAATGTATTGCTGATATATAAATTACATAAAATTGTTATTAATACATCATATAAATATTTGTACACACCCAATCTGAATGTACACCTACTGAATTGAAATGAATAAAAAAAAACCCAAAACTCTCCAAATAAGAGGACTACTTTCAGTTAGTCCTCTCAATGCCGCTGTCGAACCCTTTCGACACGAGTGCAGCATAATAACAACCCCAAACAAAACTTGCAATAACTATTGACCAAGTATGAGTGTGTGAGTGAGTGAGTGAGTGAGTTGAGTTTTAACGCCGCACTCACCAATATTCCAGCTATATGGCGGCGGTCTGTAAATAATCGAATCTGGACCAGACACTCCAGTGATCAACAGCATGAGCATCGATCTGCGCAATTGGGAACCGATGACATGTGTAAACCAAGTCAGCGAGCCTGACCACCCGATCCCATTAGTCCCAATGACCAAGTCATTTGAAATATTTATGAAATGTATGAATGCTCGGCTTTCTGAATATATAAAATTAAAGTAGTTTATGTTTACTGAAACGAAAGCCCGCGAATTAAACATGTATTCGCCAAATTTCTCGGCACAAACAACGGCCATTGTTGACTTCAGGCACTTCACGTCGGGTCGTATTCTGTCAAATATTTTATTCTTAATGAAATCATTTTTTACAATCTGATCAATATTTTGTTCTTTGGTGAAAAGAAAACACTGAATATTCTCACAGTCTAAAATGAACGACTTTCGGTTTAAATAGTTATAAACATCACCCATTGGATGAATAGGAACGATCATGACAATGACGGTAAACAAACAACTCCACATAGTGATACAGAAAAACTATTGCCGTCCTTTTAAGATATCCAACTATTTTCGCTGGAAATAATTACATGGTCCGATTGCGTAGCTGTTAATGTCTGTTAATGTAAAAATATTATCATATTTATCGAGTTGATAATGATTTTGTTTGATAAACCTTCCGACATTTACATTTACATTGTTGACAATCGTAGGTGACACGTGAGGGCGTGGCCTAACTCGTACTTATATTAAGTGACAATCCTAATAAAAACGATTCAATACGTAAATAATGCAGATCATGAAAAATAATCACAATATCAGTAATCGTATCCACCCTTGATGAAACTGGTAGTACGTTCGACACATGGAGGTAAAATATGCACGAGTTGATCAACTTCCAGTGATACATTTTCTAAATTCAAATTCCCGTGAAATGCAAAATAAATAAATATATATTTAGCAGGAGGTGCAACCTGTTTTTGTCTGGGGCATCAAAGTCATCATCTAAGATGGCACCAGGGGCAAATAGGTTTCGCTCCTCTAAATCGAGCCCTGCAATAAATGATTTTTTGTTGTCCTGTTTGAAGTGAATTTGGATAATTCTTATTTCCATATGTATGTGGCAACGACACCTACAGATCTACAGAGATAGATTCCAACAGTCTGTACACGTGATCATTTGTGATAAAACAAGGACTATATATTATTGATAACAATTAACACAGCTGTAAGCAGCTGTGAAACATTTAGCATTGACAAATCTATCATCATTATTATCTTTAACCGATGTCTGTAAACATTACTGCGTCGGATAAAGTGAAAAAACAAAACAGAAGTTATCATCAACCCATCTCATAATTATATGTTTCTTATCTACATAATCAGTGTAGAATCAAGTGATGACCCTAATAATAACAAAAGGTCAAATAAAAGATACTGAGAAACTTGCATGTGGAATGTTTATCTGCTACTACTTCCGGGTCACGGGAGCATACAAGGTCAAACAGGTTCTGTGATATCCCAATTATATGGTAAAAACACAATGTGTTTTTTTGTGAGCAATGATTAATCATACGAAATAGACATTTGCGTTAAATTTACTGTCAATATTCAATGACGACAGCTTTTTAGCAAACAACCTCTGTCTGAGACATGACATCCGGTGACCTTTGCACTTTCTAGAAAACAGAAGTCAGATTTCGCTATCTTATATTTCGTTTTTCTCTAGTCATATTTAACTGAAAATGATAAATGAAATCCTTGTACAATGAGAAGTTCGTAAACTTTCGCCTGGGTTTATACATGAAAGTAAACTTTGTTCTTTTTAAAATGGCAGACACTTGTGTAGAGGTTGGACATAGCGCCATGTTTGTGTTTCGTACGTCGTGTCCCGGAATGCAACACCGGTTTTTAAGTCGGTTTGTGTCGAAAATATACCACAGCACTTGGAATTAGAACTGGCGAATATTCATAAATCATGTAGTATATTCTGTAATTTTCGTGACATGACACCTTGGAATAAACCTAATAGTGTCATTTGAATAAAATACGTGATGACATCGAAAATACGATTTGTTTACGACGAACGTTTTCGAATATTATTTTTCAGAAATTTGCTGTCACGCTATTATTTTCCGATACAAATATACAGTTAAATATGAGATCTCGGAGATAAGACTATTGAAATCGGTTTGCGCTAATTCAATAATTTATACAAGCTTCTAATATGAAACTCATTCCACTGTCAATCAAGTAATTCCGGTAAACTCAAGAACTTACATTTTTTATATTTACTTTGGCTTTAACCCCTGTATGTTTGAAACAGCAGGATACTTTTGGATAATAATGTTCATTTTTCTGTCTAGTATGAATGTTCAAAAGATTGATTCAGTTGTGCCTTATTTAATGCCACGCCAACTGTTTGAATTCAGCCATCCTCATTACAACGCCTTATGCTGACATTATTTCAGCAGGCTGAAGGCTGAGACAAACAGCGTTTGATTAATGCACCCATAAATGGTAAAGTTCAAAATTTAAAACTTCTGCTCCGCATTGCTGAACCCTGAACAAGGCTTATCCTTATATACCTCCCACCAAAAGTTTAGACTCACTGAAAACACTACTATATGTTAAACTTATGTACATATGGTTACAGACCGCCTCCGTGGTGTATTGGTTAGAGCGTCCGCCCGGAGAGCGGAAGGTCGTGGGTTCGATCCCCGACCGCGTCATACCTCCCAGTCCCTGCCTGGCGCTCGGCATTAATGGGTTGGTCAGTATAATGTGTCAGAGTCATGCTTCACTGCGGCAATCTCAGTAGGCTAGCACTATAAAACCAGCTATCTGGGTTAGTACAGCAGCCGCACATATGTCGTCATATGAGCAAATATTCTCAAGGACGTAAAACCCAATTTCACCTCACCTCACCTCACATATGGTTACATCGAAGATTGATTTCTCCACTAACTTGGGGGAACCAACTGCAAACCTTAAGCAGATGAATTGCAAGAGTATCATGCATCACATTGCTGAAAAGCATGTGCAAATATCAGGCATGTGAACAGCTACGATTTGGTGTAAAGTTTTGTAAGAAGTCGCCAATGACAATAATATTTTTAACTGTACGAATTTGTTTCATGTGTAAACGGTATGAATATTTTGCAAAATTTGTTTAGAACTCTTACAGTTGCCTGAAGAAAGTGGCTACAATTACACTAGTGAGTCTAAACTTTTGATTGGAAGTATTTATCAACAAAGCTGATAAAGAGCCCTTGACGAAAATGCCCTTACATTTATATATGCATGCATGCAAAAGGTAAAATCATAAACAGCAGTTGGGAGAAAATATTCTGAAGTCAATATTGACCAAGTTAATAAACATGACTGAGTGAGTTTAGTTTGATAATCCTGCAATATGGCGCCGGTTTGTAAATAATCGATTCTGGACCAGACATTCCAGTGATCAACAGCATGAGCATCGATCTACGCAATTGGGATACGATG